GATGGCACGGTGGATTGTGTTCACTTACAATGCTTTCTGGAAGTATTCCTGAGCCCATTCTGTTATTTCCTTGACAGTGGCATTCCTGTTTGAGGTGCAGTGACGTTTAAGGGCCCGGAGATCACGAGCATCCAGTAGAGTTTTACGGCCTTGACCCTTACGCACAGCGATTGTTCCAGATTCTCTGAATCTTTTGATGATGTTATGCACGGTTGATGATGATAACTTAAAAGTCTTTGCTATTTTACGCTGGGTAACACCATTCTGGTACTGCTGCACCATCTTTCTGTGCAACAATGGTGGAATTGGTGATCCTCTTACCATCTTGGCTTCTGAGAGACACTGACACTCTGAGAAGCTCTTTTTATACCCAATCATGTTGTCAATTGACCTAATTAGTGTTAATTGGTCTTCCAGCTGTTCGTTATATGCTCAATTTACTTTTTCCAGCTACTTATTGCTACTTGGCCCAACTTTTTGGGATTTGTTGACACTGTGAAATTTTGAATCAACATATTTTTCCCTTAAAATGTTACATTTACTCAGATTAAACTTTTGATCTGTCATCTATGTTATATTATGAATAAAATATTGACTTTTGCCATCTCCACATCATTGCATTCAGTTTTTATTCACAATTTGTTTAGTATCCTAACTTTTTGTGAATCCGGTATGTGTATATATGTATATATATATATATATATATATATATATATATATATATATATATATGTATATGTATATATGTGTGTGTCCATCCTCCCATCCATTATCTTTACCCGCTTATTCCATTTTGGGTCACGGGGGTACCTGGTGCCCATGTCCAGCAATCACTGTGCGAGGGGCGGGGTACACCCTGGACGGGTCGCAAGTCCATCACAGGGACACATAGAGACAAACGAGACAAACAACCATTCACTCTCTCACTCACACCTAGGGACAATTTAGAGTTACCAATCAGTCTAACATGCATGTTTTTGGTCTGTGGGAGGAAACCGGAGCACCCGGAGAAAACCCACGCATGCACGGAGAGAACATGTAAACTCCACCAGAAAGGCCCCTGGACCGGGGTTTGAACCAGGGACCTGTTCGCTGAGAGGCAGCAGCTCTACCAGTTGCGCCACCGTGCTGCCATATATATGTATATACAGACCCTTTCCAAAAAGTTTGAATATCATGGAAAAGTTGTTTAATTTCCATAATTCCATTCAAAAAATTAACCTTTATTAGATGATAGATTCAGGGCCCACAATTTAAACTATTTCAAGTATTTATTTGTTCATTTTTACATAATTTGGGCTTCCAGCTCATGAAACCCACGAAAACAGGAATTCAAAAAAATGGTTACGTCCTCTCTTAAATAGTTACTGAATCAAGTTTTTACATCTCTAGGTAAACGTAGATGTTTAACAACCCATTAAAATACACCAGAATGCAGGAAATGGCATCTATACTTTACCCAACATTTTCTGAGGGAGGACCCCCAGACCCTCCCACCATTGTGTCCCCCCTACGTTACAAGTGCTTCTGATGCCAATGCTCAACACATACTCTGAGTGGGACATTTTGCATGAGATTGAGCATGATCTCATTTTTTTGTTTTAACCAGAACCACTACAAATGTCAACATCAGATGATCTTAGTGTAAAACAGTGACATGAAAGACAATTTGCACGCCTTACATGTGTTTGTGTAGTGGGGGCACAACTTGAATACTGTGTTTAATAGAAGCTTTTACATAATGATTTATAATAATAATAATAATAATGTCATCACAATGTCAGCACTGTATGTTTCCATACAATGGCGAAATTAGTCTCTGCATTTAACCCATCCACCACCAGGTGGTGCAGTGGGCAGCTATTGAAAGCGCCCGGGGGACATTTTGGGGATTATCTTCTGTAATGACAAGACTTTGAGCTGCTCGAGGCTTGGTTCAAACCCATCCACTCCAACTTTAATGTCTAAAAACAGACTTTTTAAAATATTTCAACTTTGTCTTCTCCTGCAGACAGCTCCAGGAGCTGCAGCAACAGAAAGAGATGGAGCGGGAGCACCAGGAACGTGAGAGACAGGAGCGGGAACGTCAAGAGCAGGAGCGTCAAGAACGGGAGCGCCTGGAGAAGGAAGCAATGGAGCGCCAGGAGCGCGAACAGCAAGAGAGGGAGGCGCAGGCAGAGCAGGAGCGCCAGGAGCAGCAGGAGCGTGCTGAGCGTGAGCTGATGGAGAAGGAGAAGGCAGAGAGAGAGCAGTTGGAAAAAGAGCAGCAGGAGCAGCTGGAGAGAGAGCAGCAGGACTGGGAGAGAGGGAGACGCATCTCCAACGCTGGTGAGTTACACACACAAACACACACTCAGGTGTGAGTGTCCAGGCTCATGCTGTATGTGTGAATATACAAGTTTATCTTGTGGGAAATTACACATGCACTAAAATCTGTTAGTGGGGTTCAAACTCATTTTCATTACTGATCCACATTATTCCTAGGCCCCATGGTTTCTTGCGTGAATTATGGGCGCGACTTCCGGCTCAGAACGAAACTAACGTTTCTTTCTGTGTGAACAGTACGAGCTAATGTAGCTTCTTCAAGCATTTTGGCTTTAATTTAAACATGTAGGAACACCGGCTGTCAGAGCTCCAACAGGACAATATAATCATACCGCTGCCTGCTGAGGACGAGCTGAAGAAGTGGCTGCAGATTACAGCTACTAGCATATTTAGCTACATCTACTAGCATATTTAGCTACATCTACTAGCATATTTAGCTA